TAGTCCTAAAATCGCTCTTATCTGCAAATTAGATAGCTGATCTTGACCTCGTAAATAACGTAAACGCCCATCGATTGGGTAGTCGCACAAGACGACTGCGTTCTCTTGGAGTCCATGCCACTGTTCTTTTTGTCCATTCATCATCTGTTCTTCGTATTATGTAACCGGTCGATCTGTGCTTCGCTATCGACATATATTCTCCTGTATCCCGAAAGTGACGCGTGGGGCACAGTGGTCAGAGGCGATCTGCAATACACACATGATCGATCGCCGCGCGCCAGGTAACCAAACCTTCCATCCCTCCGGTGTGGGCAAATTGGTACTAGAGTTATCTTGAAGGATAGTAGCACTGGCTCGATACATCGGTAGGCTACCATGAGTCATTGTAAAGGTCAGGTATGCATTTAATCACCTCCAACGATGCTTAATGAAGTCGAATGCATGGCGCATCCCTCAAAGATTGATCAACGCCGAGAGTTTTATCCCTTTTTCTACCCTTCATCCCGAAGAGGGGATACAGTTTTAACATCTAAGCTGCGTATTCCAGAAAGACGTTGTGAGGGACAGTTAAATTTCAGAAGACATCTTTCAAACGCTCTGTGGTTGGTGTACAGAGTTTTGACATGATTGAAGTGCTAGCCTAGTTCTCTGTCGAATAACAGAGCGCCAGGAGGATTGTTGAGTTGAAAAGATGGGCGCGGAATTATAGATCCGGTAGTTGGCCAGTGGCCAGTCTGACATGCCTATACGCGACCCTTGGCTGCTCTCCTTTCCCATATCATAATTCTTCCTACACGTAAACTATTTATGCGCAGTGCAATCTTTTCCCCCGCTTCACTGAGTTCATTAAGCATCTATTTACGTATACATATTGTTACGAACTGCCCTTGTTGAAATGACGCGAGGTTCGCATTAGTTGTTGCCGCTGTTGTTGCCGCGGTTCGATGGCTGACGTTTCAGCGATTTAGCCTTCTTCAGAACCTGGATGTTAACGATATCCATATAATTCAGTGGAACATTTATAGTACTAATAAGGATCTATCATACAAACTAACGCCATCTTTTTTTCGGAAGAAAAACCACACCCTTTTGTTGCGTGTGGGGCCATCGGTGTTTTGCCACGTGGGAAGACGAGTAAATCCCACTCAGTTCAAAAATCAGTTTTAAAAGAGGCGCGAGGTTAAGCGTGACAGCATTCGTCATTCCGGTTCACCTTTGAAATTTATTCAAGATGCTTTGAGAGCCTTGCTCTTGACGTTCCCCATTCCTGCGCTAGGATCCGGGCGGTCACTTAAAAATCATAACCATTGTGCTTTTGTGCCCTATGTGTACCTAAAGGAGAACCTTGGCGAATTTTATGTTCCCCATCTGGATGTTCTTTTATGCGGATACAAGGCGGCCTACCCACTTTCCCAACGGATTCTTCACCGCAAGAGTTACATGAGATTAAGTTGCAGCAGAACTCATGCAATCCCCGTCTCTAGCAATGGGATAAAGTACAAGCTGCACAAACAAAGCTGCTGAGATCATCGAGGAAGTGGCGAGTTAACTGATGGGGTAAGGTATTAGGTGGAAAGTCAATAACTGTCATAGAACTTTCAAGACTACTTTTTAGAGGTGTCAAGCCTAAGAAGTACTGAAAATTCTGTGGCAGTTATTGACCTGCCACCCAATAGTCTACGCGGTCAATTGAGCCGCAACGGCCTATATGATCGTTTGTGCCACTCAGAAAACTGTGTAATCTGTCCTAACGGCAAAGACGGCGATTACATGAGTTCGGGTACAAATTACTTAATGTCATGTAAGGCATGCGGTGAGGAATACATTGCGGAAACGGGCAGACCAGTTTGTGTCCACATAAAAGAACATCTAGATAGTAAAGCTAAAATTCGACAATGTAGTCTAAATACACAAAGGGCAGAAAACCACAATGGTGACGATTTTGACGTGACTGTCGGTATCCTACCGCAGGGATCAAAAACATCAACGGGCAAGGCTCTCGAAGCGTTTTGGATAAATTTCAAAAGTCCAAAGATGAACAGGAGAAACGAATGCCTTACTATCACATGCGACATTGCGCCTTATTTCAAATTGATTTTCTGATCTGGAAGGATTTCACTCGTCTTCGGACGTGAACAATACACGAGTGCAGTGCTACATGCAACAAAACGGTCAGTGCTTTTTTTTTCAAACAAGATGACGTTAATTTCTAGGTTAGATCTTCATCAGCACTATATTTTACCGAATTTGAACACATTCTCTGTGAGAATTGAGTAACTCTGAAGAAATCCCCTCAGCGAATTATCAAGGTACAACTGCGAATAGTTGTCCTTCGGTGTCGAATTTCCGTGTTCGAGTAGAAACATCTCTGTGCCTCTGACGGCTACAGTCTCTCTATAAAAGCTATAGTCGTTACCGCAAGCATCTCGCCCAAAAAGTTCTTGCAAGTTATTAAATAGAGAACAGTTCCTCACTAGCCACGTTTCATATCACTTTTGGGTCGGATTTCTTATCGAAAAGGTAAAAAAGGTGAACTTAAACTGTTGAGCTTACACGAGGCTGATAAATGGATTTATTCGGCTAACATTTCTTCGCCTTCATCAGAGCCGATAATCCGATTCAATGGTCCACAGCTGTTCGTCTTCTCGATGTGGCGACGTCGTAGTCGTACCGGGATGGATCGTCTTCAGTTGAACACCATACAAATGAAGCATGCTCACCCGGCATTGCTGTTCTATACAAGGTGGTTGTTGTTGATATGATTACCCGTTGATACGAATTTGCTTTCCAACGGATAATCCACCCTCCAGCAGTCGGTAAAACCTCTACGAACAGCTAAACATGTGTGTACCCAACACAGTACACCATTTATGGCCATACACGTTTGCTATGTTGTAACAATAATGGTTAATCGGCTTGGAATAACAGGATGAAGATATTACATTTCACAACATCTACTTCCCAATAAGTGCTACTCTCCGTCTTGACGGTTTTAAAATGCTACGTACTCTTACAATTTCTTAAGCATGTCAAGAGGTGATATATTGTTGTACAAAATGACAAAATACTTGACCAGAACAGCCTTTGTAACATGTTAAAAACACTTCCTAGAACGGTCATCTAATTCTTAAGTTAGAAGTACAACATGGGAGAAAAGCAGTAAAAAAGCTAACCCAGAATTGAACATTTAGTTGATGAAGAGTTATGATCGACAGCAGACACACGATCAGAATTGAAACGACGCAAGGTGGTATCTAGAACAGTTCATGGTAGTAGCAAGAATGGACGTACGTCATCCAATGTAGCTGGCCATTACCAAATCATGAAGAGAACAATGCTTGAACAAAAAATTTATTCATAAATTTCCCTCTTACAGCAACTTCTCAACGTATTTTTCCCGCACTTTGATGTTAAGAGGAAATTTCAAAGCAAGGTAATAGATAATCGAGCCCCTACGTTCTACGAAAAGCTCTGAGGAGAAGTTGAACCATGACTCCCGTGACGCAAAATTCCCTTGCGTTGGACACCAACTTTGAGATTCACAAGAAAAAAAGAAACACTTGAATACAAATCGCTGAAACTGTACAGATAGTCAGTCCATCAACAACAATGCAATTAAATTACATGCATATGATCAGAAACAAAAATATGTATGGGAAAGAGAAACGAGTGAATCCAAAAACGGACAACACGTGCGGAACAGACTTTCTGGAACTTGCACGAATTAGTGGTCATTAGATAGGGTATAACCACGTGACCGTGGGTTAATGGAGGTTTAATGGATACGGTAGTGATAATAGGTTTTTCGGGATTTAGTGCAAGAATCCCTTTCTTTTCTTCCTATGTCCCTTAAGAACAATTTTTCCAATTGCTGTGCTATCATATAAAAACGCAAAGCCTATTTTATGCAATACCATTCTGTATAATTTAATTATAATATGGATTGCATTTTGGAGAGATTTTACAGGGTAGAAAATGAGATGTCGAAAAATCTCACTGTAACAAATGTTTGCAACCAAGCTTACAACAAGTACTCTGCATTTTCTCTTCCTTGTTCATATTGTTCCCGTCCAACGATTGAAGTTTCTAGAGTTGTGTGTCGTCTTAGAACAATACTACTCCAGAATGTTATAAAGAAGATGGAGACGCGCAAGGATAATGGGATTTTTGCTCACAAGCGAACTAGTGAGTGCTTAAATATTCCTTTCCAATAGTTCGTACGAATCTTTCCTTTCCACAGTATAGGTATAAAACCCCTCTTCCACGTAGTCACCCAGTCTTTTCTAGGTGCTTGAGGGATCTATTCCTGGCTATCCGCATCGACTCTTAGCAGATGAATCCGTGAAAGAAATACTATGAAGTTACTGATGGTTTCCACTTGTTTCTGACCATTGTTAGTTGCATGAGAAGCGATTACGCTTAACCTCCTCCAGTGATTTTGCAGAAGGAAACGGATTCACAGGAGTAAACTAGTATCTGATGATCTGATGATGCTGATGATCATATGAAAACGCTGTGGTAGTGTTATCTCGTGATTCAAGGAAAAATTACGTTCGATAAGGAATCGTTTCAATATGTGAGTGAGGACAGAACACTCCAAGTGCTCAAAACTAACTTCTTGCAGCAACTGAACCACTTTCGTGATTAAGAAAGAGATAATGAAATCAATGATGAAAGCTCACCGAATCCTTTCAGCATGGTTTACTAAAGCAAATTAGCAAATATCTCAACATTTCCCGTTCATTTTACAGATGAAGTAGACGACTAAACTGTGCCTTGCTCACATTGACAAAAGGGGTTATTAGCTGAGATATATCACTTTAAAGATACAACTCAAGAGTCCTGCATTAATTTCCGAACCTAGAATGTATGGAATTCGATATAATCCAAACATTATGAATAGAAAACAGAAACAATCAAAGAATTTAGTGTAATCTGAAGTGAAACACTACACGAACAGAAACTGATCAATATGTACGAAACGTGCAACTACAAATATTTTAGACGTTCTCATATTCTACCACCTGCTTATTCCTAGCAGCAAGAGCACTGTGTTGCAAATCTGTAGACTGTAGCTGACTCATGTTCCACGTTTTAACGAAATTTAGCGAATCGCGTACAGTATGATCTCGAGCATGATTTAGCACCTTTAAATGAATTAATTATCCAACTATACTACATCTGCTAATCGAAAGCATTTCTCAACTCATCGAAGACAACAGCAATCTGGCGTTCGACAAAACCTACCACTTTAGTCCCTTGCACACCAATAGGGCTCTTCTTTGCAATTCGTTCAGCTAATGCCAATGCTCCCTCAACCACGCTCTCTTGCGTAGTAAAAATGCGAGAAATCAGTCCTGTAATGTTAGAATCTCTAATTGTTCCTAACAGCAAGCCAGAAAAAAGCCAGACAATAAGGTAAACGTGAAGGTGGAAGTGCACCCTCATCTTCATTCGTTATTTCTCGTACTAACTGAGAGATTACTATATGTGCTAAGCATTGTGAAAATAAAACTTGTAAGTTGGCAAACGCATTTAAGAGTAGATAGTATGAAATGAATTAAAACAACTGTACCTTCCTATAAACGAATATTTACTATACCTCTTGTTTAACATTCAATTGTTTACCGGATCATCGTACGTATTTTATGTATGTATGTATTTTCTCTATGTATATTCCTAGGTGCCCAACTGATTTACAACCACACTCGTCCTTCAAGCAGTGTCGAAATCTGACGATCTAACATTTCTATCAGAAATTCCAAGTCAACCACTATTAATATTTTCTTTCATCCTATCAACATAGAGAACAGCTGGTAAGTGATGATGGTAGAAGACGGCTTTCGAAAGTCGAAAGAACGCCAAAACAGAAAGCTACCAGTCAGATGGAGTTATAGTCACAATTCCCCGTCGGAAAGAGAAAATTCAGGTACCTCACCTCGTCCTCGCTACTGTATCCGGCATTTTCAGCGGTTTTCCGGCCTTCAGACCACCTGTGAGGATCCTGCAAGCCCCCTGGACCACCCGGAGACTACCTATGCGTTAAATATTTTAATGAGAATAATGACACCTGCCTGTACAATCTGGTGGAATTAGAAACTAACACAGTTTGCACAATATACAGGAAATTCATCCAATAAAGTTTAACGTCAGGAAGGCAACGAAGGGAAAATACCACACAACAACTACTTCTAACAAAAGAAAAATATTAGTCTTTATCTTAGTCACTTCTGATTGGTAAACAAAATTGTCCACTGTCTCATGGGACAACATTAACGTCGGCTACTAAGAAACACAGGGTGGAAAGAGGAATTTTAAAAATCCGGTTTTGTAAATTTAAACGGCTACTTTTCCACTTTGAAACAATCACTTGAATTTAAGACAGTTCAAAAGCTCAAATTTTCAAGTTCGTAACCTATGAACAAAAAATATCATTCGTATAAAACTTATGGCATCAAGTACAACTTGTCAGTCTGCTTTAACTGGGTCACACGAGCTAGCAACATTAATTTCGTCATAATAATATAGGTCGAATCTGGTTCATCTAAAGCTGTGGTGACAAGTCTAGATTCTTTTTTTTGTGTAGTCCAATATGTAAGGGAAAAGAAACTTACCATACTTAAGCGCCTCATCGGCGCCAACATCTCTGGCCGTAAATGCCAGTTCACGGGTCCAGCTGTCATTTGCGACAATCTTTTGCATTCGATTTAATGTTCCTACATCTGCCGCCATGCCAATGTCAACTTCCTACAAAAAAGTAGTTATTAACTTTTGCGACTACTGTAAGTATAAAACAACTGCAGAGAACAATTAAAAATCACCAAATGCATAGGACAGAGGACTGAGGACATAGTAGGACAAAAACCAAGTGGAAGGTTTAATAAAAACCACACTGAAAATGAAACTTTCGAAACAATTAAAACCTAGGACAAGGATTTTAAAACAACCATAACCTTATGAGAACTTTCAGACTAAAAGTTGTAGAGATCTAAGCCATACAGCTTTAAAGGGCAATATCATTGTCATCCAAAGCACAGAAGGTCTGGACAATAACTCTTAGAACTGTCTATTTCAGAAAGTTGCAGCCACTATAATTTGGCAACTTTGTGCAGCTGGATTCTAGACTGGAGAGGTGGCTGATCAATTGTTAGCAACGAAGAGAAGTGTTCATAGTAGTACTATCGCATCGGTATAAAAGCAAACTTATACCCTAGAAGGTTATTTTAGTTTCAATACTTCCTTATTTATTACATGGCCCGATAACATATATCAAACTATCCGGATCCAATTCACGAAGGCCCTTGAACTTTTCTTTCGTGTGAATTTTGTTGATGCTTGAGTACTTTTCCATATTCGTCACGAATATTGCTCGTCGAGTAGAGTCGATTTTCACTGGAATCCTGGGATAGCTGTGCTAATGTGTTTCCACGTGGATTAGATGGAGAGAGGCTCTCCCAGATGAGGGTGGTACCAATTTCCCAACCCCGGCGTGGTGAGCTTCGGTAACCTTGTTATGAGTAACCTAATACCGCGATCAACATTGGAGGAAGCAGAAATACAATGTTTACTTTTCTTTCACCTCCCATTATTACACTACTTTCTTACAGTAGGGTATGAAGTGAAATACATCCACTATGATACTGAGATATTTGCAAAACTTGGACCTCAGACCAGATTTAAACCCGCAAATACCCTTTCCGTGGCTTTCACGTGCTACCCACTGCACCACTGAGAGCGTTTCCTTGCCTTTGTCTCAAAAATAAAAACACTTGGCAGCTTACACAAACGGAGTAAAAAATATCACAGTTACCCTTATGCTAAACATGGAATCGCTGCTGGCGTAGCGAATATCACAGGCTGTGATCAAATCTACACCTGCTCCAACACAGTGAGAGTGTATCGCGGCAATAACGGGTTTCGGACAATTCTGAAAACAAGGTATCCTTGAAAAAAGGTAGCAAAGAAATGGACTACTTAAAGCCACTGAATCACCTCTATCGCCGTAAAGCCGTCCTGACAAGTAGTAATTATACGTTGTAGAATGCGTCCTTTTCGTCCAACCTCAACTTTGTCATCCATCAACATTCCAACAAGTTCCTACAAATACGTCGAAAAAAATCTTGGAAGATTTCCTTTAACTTGGGTATACATATTTCATAAATCTTACAATTAACGAATTTGTTAACTGCTTAATTTTGATTACAGGGACAGGTGACCATTTTCGGGTTTCGCACTACGGAGCGAATCGTGTGTGATTCACACAGACCGCCCACCATTATGCGCACCCCCAATCAAATGATTCACTCCTTGCATTGTAGCTTCCTTTCCAGAATTTGGTTTCTGTCCTTTTAGTTGGTAATTACCCTGATTTTTCTCTTCCCTCAACGCACTCTATTCCTCTCTATACTGTACATTTCCAAATCTTTGAGTAATTCAATATTTTTCCTAGATTTTTTCCTGATCGAAAATGAGAAAAACTCATCCATCATCCAATCACATTGCCGATAGCTTTTCATAAGCTCTTATTGCTCTTACGAGGAATGTGAAGTAAATGTTGGTGCTAGTTCTATAACGCGAATCCAAAGTGATTACGCAAATGAGGTAGCGGTTTTCCTCCAGAGTGTAAAAAATTTTCTCTTAAGTTTTTTAAGTAAGTAAGTTTATAAAATTTCGAACCTAATTCTCTTACGATGAGGCTAACGGTGAGATAATTGTCCCATAAATCTTGGAACTTCAGTGAAAACGTTCATGGAGAACCTCGGAATGGGTGCACAGAATCAGCTTATTCTTGTGATTTAAGAGTGATATTTGGAACATTATTACAATGTAGGAAAACATATGAGGCAAATAAGACCAGTTGTAGAAACTAAAATCACTGGAGCAGTTTAAAAAAACTAGCAGGATTGTTCCCTCAGACGAAAACTGCTGGATTGCTACAGTCAAAGGAAATGGATTACCAGTTCAGGTCATAAAAACCTATTGAAGCTGATCGACTTGCTAATTGAAATTTTAAAAAAATATACGAATGTTACAAAATATCACAAATCGAAATGCGTTGTGATGCGTTTCTAACTAGCAAACACTTGATGGAACTACTGTGGAAAACAATTATGTTTAGATTAGTTCAATGGTGACAATCGAAAATGTAAACAGCAATGCTTACAGATTGCAGCTTTGCAAATAACATGAAATTAAAGCACACTGTAAAGATAATGAAATGTAAACAATCAATATTATATGTAAACATGTGCATCATATATATCGTCATAAGTGTATAAAAAAAATTAAACTCTCGGCGCTGATCAATCCCTGAGAGATGCGCCAAGCATTCGACTTCAATAAGCATCACTTGGAGGTCATTGAATGAATATCTGGTCTTTACAATGGCTTGTGGTGCTCTACTGATGTATCGAGCCAATGCTGCTATTCTCCCAGACAGACCTGGAGCCAAATTACCGACCCCAAGGTTTGGTGAGCCACGGGTGCGGGAATCAATCCCATGTGTGTGTTGCAGGGCGCCTCCGACCACTACGCTACACACGCCCCTAACATCGTATATAAGCACCATTATAACAATATTTATCGTAAAAACTATAGCTTACAAAATAAGTCTCCTCGCATATAACGGCAACAACACGCGCCCTGTGTGGAAGCACTACCGTTATCCATGTACAGATGACGAGCGAAAGCGAAAAACTGTTTGTAAATAGCGAATCTCGGAAACCGAGAATTCCATTACGGGGTTTCATGCGACACCCGCCACACCAACTAAGGCCCTTGTTTTGACATTCTCCCAGTTGGTACTATCAGATCATTTCCATTGACGAGTCGCTGATAATAGCACGGACAGAGTACAAACTTATCTAAGAGAAAGGCAAAATAAGCGCTTCGGTTGGCGTGGTGAAGAGCACTGAGCCCCCCATAAAGGTAATCGCGGGTTTGAAGCCCAGATGGGGCTCCGAGTTCTGCTCGCATCACAAAAGAATGGCGGAAAATAAAAGTTAGAACATTGGAAATAATAGCATAGTCCCACATTCCTCAAGCGTCCCTGTAAGCACTCTCCTAACCAGCAGCACCCTTTTGGTGGATAAGATAGCTAACACAATAAACGGACTTTTGTAAATTAATCAGAACAGCGTAAAAGTTCTCCTAAACAAATGTGCTATCAACATCTGTTTTGGATAAGCTATCAATTGAATACAAAACATAGGAGAACTCTGCGTGACGATACAAAGAGAAGGAAAGAAAACAAAGCAATATGGATGTGATTCGTGCAGCCGCAAATGTGTTAAAAACATATGCGTTAATAAGACTGGATTTAACTTTTTTATTTACTGCCTACTACAATTTTCGCGTCAGCGCTTTATAGGAAATCAACCAAAATGGCGCTATGCTTGCAAACCTCCAGATGGCAGGTGTCTGCGATGGGGACCGAACACGTTATTTCCCTTCCCGGTGGTTTACGCATTCACCATCACACCATGCTCATCCTTGCTGAAGGCACTGCTAAATAGAAAACTAGCTGAGAGAAAGGCGAAACGAACGACGCGTATGTTGTGAACACGTTAGTCCCCGAGAAGGGTCACAACGTGTTCGATTCCCACCGCAGACAACTGCTGTCTGGAGTTTTACGAGTATCTAAGACTGACTTTGTTATCAGAAAGAATGACCACATAATTCTAAGAAAGAAAACATTCAGAAAGAGTAACATTGATGGGCTTTCCAAGCATGAGGAACTCGAATTCAACGAGTGCTAGAGATTGCACAATTTTACTTCGAGATGCTGATAACGCCTTTTCTTGTTTTCTAAAGACAAAATGATAGAACAGAAGTTTCGCACACCGGAAAAAAATGCCTTACCAATACATGTTCTGTGGCACTTGCAGCGGTGAAGAATGAACTCACCCCCATACCTTGTTGTAAGTCAATTCCAGCGCAAAACGACTTTCCAATCCCGGAAATAACAATTGCACGGCATTTTGGTTCTTCGGCAAGCTCGTCAAAAACAGTCTTCATCTTCCTGAAACTAGTAACTAAGATTATAAATGCAGCTAGAAAATGATACACATTTAGATTGGCAGAAATACGTTTAAAGATTTCAGGAACCACGACCAACATTTAAGGGAAAAGCATTCGCCGTTGGCCAATCCCTGGCGGATGAACCATGCATTCTATTTAAACAAGCATCGTGGAAGTGAGTGGATACACATCTCATCTATATGATGACCTTCGGGAGCCTGCGGTTCTATTCAAATCAGTCTCGTTATCCTTCCAGAGAAGTCAGGCGCCAGTTTACCGATCTCAGATGGACGGATGGCTTCATTTGTCCGGAACGTGGGATCAAACCAGCGATCTACTCAGTGTGTCTTGCAGAGCCTCTCTGACTACTGCGCTGTACACGCCTTTAACTGCTGTTGCGATCTTTTGTCTAACACCCACCAAGTCCTCCATCCCTCCGGGAACGACAAATTGTTACCAAACTTCTCTTGGTGGATAAAAAACACTTACTTCATACACCACCAAACCTCTGAATCATTGTATAAGCCAAATTTGGGTTCAATCACGCCTACAATGCTTGATAAAGTCGAATTCAAGACGCGTTCCCCATGCATTTGCCAACGCCGAACAGCTGTAGAATTAATTACAAAATTTCACATAACAGTAAGAAAAGAGGGTTGCATATAACATGAAGATTAATAACAGCAACACCATACATACTGCTACATAATTCTCATTGGAACTGCGTCTATTCATCTATGAACGGACCAGAAATCTTGAACTTAACGGAGGCGATTTAACGACAGACTTCCATAGATCCAATGTGAAAGTGTTCCGACGATTCGGCCGATTGAGCTGAACATGGTACACATGACTTGCTTGTTCTTGCACCTCCAATTCTGTCATGAGTGACGGCGACGTGCCCAGGAACCTGACCGCAGGACGGACGCGCGATAAATAACTCCTTAGTCCATACATTTTCTGCAACACTCCAAGTGTATAACCCTAAAACAAATTTCGTAACGAAGCATATAAATGGCGACGTCATAGTTGGATCAATTAGAATAGAGACACAAATAAGAACTCATAGACGGCTCTTCTGTTCGCATATGATTGCCTTCAGAAGGTGATTAGAATGCAGAACACAAACGAGAGGATCTACACATAAGCTTAGGAGAACCGATGCTTACATGTCTTAAGCTGATATTCAACAGATCAGAATTAACGAACCTGTCGTTTTCTCGCTGTTGCCAGTGCACAGTAACATTTAGTTATGCAACTTGATCGCTGACTAAACCACTAATGAACAAAGGATTCCATCAGGATAAGCAGGAGGAGGAGGAAATGAAACTGCACTGATGGGAAGGACAGAGTGAAGGTTAGATGCCCACTATCCCTGTCCTGTTTACTAGACGTTGACCTTAAACTATATGAGTAATGCTTCTAATCTGATTTATTTAACTGCGAATACTGTTCTAGTAGCGCCTCCATTTAATTGCAGTGGGAGTAGAAGTCGAAGCCAATAACAGCGACTTTCCACTGACCACGTAAGCGAACGAGTACGAAGTACAACGAACGCTAGCCACTAACAGTACAATTACTCAAGTACAGTGCAGTTGCACTTCAATACAGTTATACTACTCGAGTACTCTCGAGTACTCACGATACGAATCTCATGGACATCGACCAACTCCGGACGAAGCGGACGAACTGAACTGTCAGAAATAAGAAACCAATGAGATGATATTTAAAAAGAGAAATCATACAAACGTAAAGGTTAAAAGTAATGACCCTAGTCCTCTCAATGAACCAAGGATTCTCAAAAGTGCTGTGGATCAGGGTTATCCATGAACACAATTGAGAGTTCCTGCCCTAAGCTTGAATAATCGCTACCTGAATTCCAAAATTAGTCGTCATCTGCAGTGTTTTTGCAACTGCGGCAAAATCATACTACAGTAAGAAATAAGTAGCGTCATATTTACGCACTGTGCTTAGTTTTCATAGTTTAGAATTCTTTGCTGGCTCTCGGGTCTGCTTTTCATTTGTTGTTCTGTGACTCAGCCTAAATTAATATATGCTGCAACTGTTTTTGATGTCAGATTTTATTTAGTCTTGGCGTGGATATGCATCTTCTCAGTTTATTGCTGGGCTTACTCGATGTTGCTAGAAAGCACGGTTGTGGTTAAGTTTCCTCACTCTGTCCTTCCCAGTCACGATGACTTTAATCGAGTGTCCACAGCAATTGTCTCCTTTTGCTGTGGTTCTCCCTGTTGTTGCGTCCAATCGAGTCTTGTGGACTAAGACAGTGCGCGATCGTCGCGGCTCTGAAGGCCAACGCACCGAAATAATGATTTGTGACGAATTCTTGTAAGATTTTCAATGGGCGAAGAGGTTTGTATACAGATTTCAGGGCTCTCTTATGGGCCAGCTTATCAGTCGATATTACGGGTTATTCACTAGACGAGTTCCAAATCTTCGCCCGAATAACGATGAAGATCCTGAACAACAGCTGACGTATGCGAATTCGGCGGGTACGCATAATTGTTATACATTCGTTAGTTGGCTACGGTTGGGCTTTAATGTCATTGCTGATTGCTAAAAGTTTTTATTGACCGATGGTAACTTTACTGCAAGTGATGAACCTTCCTTATTCGACCTAGAATCTTTATAGGATCGTTCTTCGGATCTCATTTCTTGATGTGTGGCGGCCGATTTGATATGGCTAAGCCAGAGGCCTTCTTGTTCGGTGAGAACAGCGATCTGGACCTCTTAGGAGGTCGATCTGTTCCGGTTCGTTGTTTTCTTCAGAATAACCTGATATCGCTGCAGCTTGATTTCATCACTCAAATTTTCCAGTAGTTGTTCCATGGTTTGACCCATGATTTTTTAAAAGTTTATGTAGCACTCTTCCCAACGGCTTACCGCCTCATCACGACTGGGAGGTGCTCCTGGATGCCGGGCTGCGATATACAGCGGGAAGATTGACTCACCAAGCCTCCCATCCTTCCGAGATCGGCGAATTCGTACCATATTTGCCTGGGAGGATACCAGCACTAGCTCAATACATTGGTAGGCCACCATGAGTCATTGTAAAAGCCAGATATGCATTAAATCTCCCAAGCGATCCTTAATGAAGTCGAATGCACGGCCCATCTCAGGGATTGATCAACGCCGAGAGCTTTATCTTTTATCCGTTCATAAGCACTCCCCATAAAAATTCTGTCATATTGATTGGAGCCAACTGCGTTTTTCTACGTTTTTAATATGGAATTAACGTTGGTTTTTTTCAGTTTCCTTATGCTTCTCCTCTGGGCAGTGACGAAGTCCGACCACTTCACTTGCTTGTCAATATAAGAAAGGAGTCAGTAAAATTCCAAAGGTAAATTCCCTTGTCTTCTCTGATTCTTATTGGTTTGGCTCAGCAATTTTTTAGTACTACTTGATATTGACATCTTCCCATGAGAGGGGTCTTATCTACGAGGGCAATATTGTACTAAAGTGCCTTGTTAACTTTCAGTATTTGAATATGTAGAAATGAATGAGAGTGAAAATTTTACGGTAAGTCCTTCTGTCCGTTACTTCATCCTGGTTTAATTGCTAATGATATCAAGTTACTACAAATCCCGCAATTCCCTGGCTAATCTTGTGGTAACGTGTTTGTGCAAAGTTGGCTGATGTTCTAGAGTAAAGGACGTCGATGGCTCTGAAGTGGAATCTTCTCTCTACCGACTGGAATTCACTTTAGATGCTGACTGCTCGTGCTTCGTGCAAATCCATTTCAATGCTAGAGAACTCTACCAAGACGGCACAATCCAGTGCGCTGGGTTTTTTTAAATCCATGCCTAGTAATTCTTTATTTCTACATTGGTTTTAGATTTGTATACCGCAGCAAGCGAGCTTCTTGTTCGGATGTATTTCATTTCGACGCCGGCTCTGACCAAACGTTCAATAACTTCATTTTTGATTCTTCAAAATGGAACTTCGCGGACGTAAGTTTACATGCATACCTACTGGGATACTTCAGTGGCCCGTTTTCACTGGTTGTTCAGGCCCCGGAACAATTTCTATTTCTTCGGAGTTTTGCTGCTTTAGCCATTACGTTTCCTGGAGTCCCGAGGTCAGCTTGGCCAAAGTCTACCCCAAATCCTCAGCACCACAGCCAGTCGCCGTCCTTATGGCTCAGAGGGAGATTTGCCACCACGCGACTAGATTGGCACCAGAACGGTGGTGCATCGTGGTACTGGTTTTTTCTTAGTTGGACTTCCTTAGGAAAGCGCTGGACTCCTCAATTTGAGAGACCCTACCATGGGGATGAGTCCCACTACTGTACGTCGCATCTTGACACCCAGGAACACCTTCCCATCCATGTGGCGCTAAACCGTTAGGAGGTTTACATACATGCTATATACTTTACTTGTCTCTGCAACAGTTTTAATTTCTATTTTCAGTTGACATATTCGGGGGGACTTTACTTCCCTATTGTTGTCGTCATTCAAACCGAAGATGTCGATCGAGTACAAATGCAAAGCACGATGTGCACGGTCGATGTGATTTTTTTATGTATTAGTTTTTATAGATTCATCTCCAAATCAATTTCTCGTTTTTTTCCTTCATTTTCGAGATAAGGCGTGTTACATGTCGCTTTCAGGTTGCCAACGATAATAGCCATGCTCTGATATTGAAACCTCTTCGACAAAAAATTGCTTGCGATGGAGTGATCTACCTGCTTCAGGTTAGCTTAAATCTTCGTCTTTTTTGCTACAGTTAGTTTATTACATAGGTGGTCCATTCGCAGAAGCCCTGCTATTACTAGCATGTTTTCCGTTTCTTTGTTTCCATTGAAATGGCTACCCTTGGTGTTGGTCTGTTCCAAACTACTTCGGATGTCACAATGTTGACCTTTACTTACTGCGTACTATAATTTTTTACGATAGGGTATGATGTGAAACACAACCAAAACCATGCTGAGATATTCGCAAAACGTGGACCTCGGGCCAAATCGAACCACAACTATTCTTTCCAGGGGCTCATCCATTACATACTGCACCACTGAAGCCCTTGCTTTGCGTTTTGCTCAACTAGTTTTCTTAATAACGCTTCCATCAGAAATCATCCGTCAGCGGGATTGGTCTGAGGAGCACAAATCGGCATTGAACCCAGTTAAGTGGAGACTGTAGTCGATATCACAATGTTAACATTTTGTTTTCCACCTATTATAATTTTTCACGGCAGGGTATAATGTGAAATACAACCAGAACGATGCTGAGATATTCGCAAAAAGTGGAACCCTGGCCAGATCCAACCACGATTACCCGTTCCGAGGCCGTCAGGTAGAAATTGCTGATCGCGGTGTTAGGTAGGAAACTAGCTGAGAGAAACGCAAAGCAACGGCCTCAGTGGTGCGGTATGTATTACGCGAGCCCCCGAAAAGAGTAATTGTGGTTCGGTCTTGTCCGTGGTCCAAGTTTTGCGAACATCTGAACATCCTTATGGTTATTTCGGATTTATTAACATCTGCAAGCGTCATTCTATGGTCTATAAGTATTTGCAGCTGCGAAACATTTTGCCGACGTGGATCACTAATGCTTTTGCCTGTCCCATAGGTCCTCACCATGGATGACGTTAGATTCTAAGTAGCTACTTTACTTGATCATGCTCTCTATGGGCGATGCCTGAAATTGTTGACATGCTTAAGTCATTACTTTATATCTCAGCTGTGCTTGATCGAAAAACTGAGGCCACAACATTAGATCCTTGAATATGATATCTGCTTCGTTGATACTGTTCGGAAGGATGTTGGCATGAGAACAAAGCTTTTGTAGGAATTTGCTGTTTTGCTATTTTTGTCTTAGTCAATTAAACTCATACTTTACAGTGCTGTTGTTTGCGGGTTTCAATAAATGATGTCATCCTACATGAGCTCCCCATTTACAGTTTCTTAAAGGCTGATGGAAGACCCATATTTTTGTAGAGATTCTATACCTGAAATAGGAGAAGAAATAACTACGAATAATCGGAAGAAAACCAATTTTATGAAGAATGATTAGTATGGAGGAGAATAGAGTACCGTGCATGGATCGCCGATTGGTGAAAACTACGTCTATATTTAAGCAAGATTCAGTATGGTTAACGACTTGAGAGAAGAATTCGATGGGAAATAAAGAGTTTCGAATTAAGGCCATTGGTCATGTTATTGATTCAGGCTTTCGTACAGGTTTATGAAGCATAGTTCCCGGGATCGACTTTCTCTTAACCTCGGCATTGGAATATGAATGTGTCGTTTTCTTGTTCAGCAATCGCTTCAGAAAAAAAAAAAACTGAAAAAGGCGATACTGCCGAAACGTCAGCTAGCGTTGTATTGTATTGTGTTTCTCTATGGAAGTGAATGTATGCTGTTTAAAAACCTCGCGATTTATGAAGCATAGTTCTTTTAGTTCTTTCTTATGTATCAGAAACATAGGACGATGCTTCGGTGATATGGAAAGTGTTGTATACAATACACAGGGCGTCGTAGCAGTGTCTTCCGAAGGTGAACAGACGCACACAATACCGACCTAGTCTTCGTTGAGTTATCCACCGAAGGTTATTGGTCCTGAAGACCCAGCATAATGCGTCTCAAGAAATAAATTTAATGAAACTAGAGGACAGTAGGCGGACGAGAACTCTGAAGTCGATTCCAAAGGAATCAAAACGGACTTTAAGGAGACTGTTTGAAAAGCTGACCGACATGTTCGTTGCAAAAGTATTACCTATGTAGCTGGCATCAATTTTCGGATTTTCAAACTACAACTAGGCTTTCAACCAAATACGTGCTCATTTGAATGACAGCTGCAGGACAGCGAAATGAATGACGAGAGAATAAGTGGAATCTGCAGGGCATGTGGAGATGGTTGATCAAAGTGTCTGTGTATGTCAACAATTTATTAGAACTTTTATATAGGAGGAATCACCTTTCTCTACAAACTTTCATTACCAATGCTGTTGTCTCCACGTAATGCGCTCTGTTGAAGTCCTATTTACCCAACCGGTTAAACTTCATTCAAAGCTACGCGGCAAGGTTCATGAATAGTTTGAAGATCAAGGTCAACAAACAAATCGGGCATTAGGTTGTTGTGACCACATTGCTCACTCTTATCGAGCAAGGTGCTCTCCTCCTAGATTCTCTATTAATTTCATACTTTTGTTTTTCGAAAACTGTAATTTTGGTTGCAAAAAACACATACGACTACCATGCATCTGATCTCAATACAGCTTTTAAGGGAATTACGTGTCTTTTCAGTGTTATTCCTCGAAGCAAAACTTTTATAGGAGATATTTGGCATCGAAAATAAGGAAATGGTTACCGATGGTAGCAACGAAGACTGTGGATTGGAATGCATTATTTGTATGAGTGACATCCGCGACACTGTGATATTACCATGTCGTCATCTTTGCATTTGTAATAACTGCGCGGACACGCTGAGATACAAGGTATTGAAATTCGTTACTAAGTTCTTATATTCGAGCGAAAGATCTCACATAATTTATATACTTCACTTCTAGATATTTTTACCTTTCTCGTTCTTTAAAAATGTATACGATTGTTTCTAACCCATAGGAAGGCATGATTAGAGTGTGTATTATGTGTGCAAGATGGCGGTGATGGTACATAGTGGGATTGAGGGCTATCACAGTACTACAGATTTGTATATATTGTATCTCCTCCCAACGATTCATCGCTTCGTCGTGGCTGGGAGCTGTTCCGGTGCGTCGGGCTGCGATGTAGAGTAGAGACATTCTTCCCACAGGTAAGGTCTCCAAAGCTGAGAAGTCCGGCGTTTTCATCAAGAAACCCAACTAAGAGTAAATCAATAGCAAGATCCACCACCGTCTAGGTATCAAACTACTTGCATGCTGGCAAATCTCCCTCTGATATACTAGAGCGGGTACTTCCCATAGTAGTGACGACTTGGAGCAGACTTTGGCTAGGCTGACCTTGGAACTCCAGGAAAACAATGGCTAAACCAGCAAAACTCCGAAAATGAAGATTATACCTGGATCCGCGCAACTAGTCAGGACGCGCCGTCCAAGTATCCAACTAGGTATATATTGTACCTGGACGCTGATTGGTGTGCATAACTCCTCGTTGCTCTTTTTATTCAGAGCAATTTTCCACAACTCGATATATATTTCCTTGTTTCGTTAGTACCTCAGGGTACGACATTTTCTGAAGTGATCATTTGTCAGAATCGTGTATTCAGTTCCTTTATCATGCTTTTTCAAACTTTTGTTTAACGGCGTGGTTTGGTGTACAGGTCGAGTAGAGTGCACTGTCGACAACGTGATAGGTGGTCCTTCAGCTGTCATGGGCCAACTTTCTGTCGAGATAGAATAGCAGCTTATCAACCAGCTATAGCATATTTTGAGGGATTTAGTTAAACAAAGACGTTGTGTGAGATTGGTAATTAAGCTGGTGTATTTTGTAACAATGTTAGAAGCTTAACTAAAAGCCGGGGAAGGCTAATAGCTCGCTCGTTCCCTACCACAGACACCTGCGGACCGGAGTTTTGCAAATATCTTAGCACCATTATGATTATTCTTGTAACAGTCTTCAATTTCTTTCCCATCCAAACAAAATAAATTGTTCGTCCATGTTCGGCCTTGCCCACGTAGACCACTGAATTATTGCTTTCTTATACTATGAGTTGTCGGTTTCCTTCAATGGTTTGCCTTAGCTGGACAAGGGAATGTTGTTGCGTGTCAAATCGCGGTTGTGGCTAAGGGATTATTCTTAAGCAGAACCATTCCATAAAAGAAGGAGTTTATTACTTCTGTTTGGAAGAGTAAGTAAGCCTATATCAGGATTCATAGCTATTCTGGAAGAAACGAAGCGATCGAGTGGGACTAGTACTAGAAATTGTTGTAATCGTGAAAGTGAATCTGTTTGAAGGGATTCGAGGTCGTGGTATAAGCAGAGGAAGTCGTGATTAGGAAATCCACTCGATCAGGAGAATGTCTGGGAAAAAATTTGATGGCGATCTAAACAGAAGACAATTGTAGGTATACATCTTAACAGAGTTCCCTTTCTAGCTCAATAACTGCCCAATTTGTCGATCTCCTTTCCGTGCACTGATACAGCTTCGTGCTCGTCGGCTGACTCGTAATCTTGGGTAAGGAGCACTAGTTTTGCATCAAAATCTTCTGTGAAGATCGCATTTATGTTACATTACGACTGCTGTTTTATTATTTTCCAGATACGAAACGGTAACCTTAGTGGAGGGTTTGAATGGACCATTAACACATCAATCCTATGGGAATGTTGAGAAGGTAAAGAGTTCAATAAACGAGGCTATATTAGAGAAACGGCACTCTGGAGATCGTAATCGTTTCGTTAACAGAGGCAATCAGGTATTGACATTTCTTCTTGCAGTAAAAAAGTGTATTACAATGCTGATGTCTTTGGTTGTCGTGCTTTGTCATTCCATGCCTTAATATTCGATTTTAGTAGATGACATTTGATGTAAATGTGGATTCGTAATGCTCTCCTTCAATCTAACTTTTGTTTTCTGACTTTTCTTGCTAGTCCATTTATCTTCTACACATACTAGAGATGTTGTATTCAAGACGGTTTCTGTCTCTTTCTAGTCCATCGCCGTGGATAATGATATCGAACTGGAGGAAACCACTGAAGGCATTGAAATGAAGATATATCTCCGAAATGATGTAGGATAACGATGAGGGTAAACAGAATTCCTTTGCAAATTACTTCTGTTAAATCGCTTTAACAGGTTATGGCTCGTGAAGAAACATCTATGTTGTCGAGCGATTTATCAAGAAGTCCCAGTCCGCAATGTGACGCGACGCCAGGAGGAGCTGATGTAGTATATACCACTTCTTATTCTGAACGTTTGCAATTTATTGATAGTTCTATTTCTTATGTACAGGTAGTAGATTCAATGGAAAACACTCAGTCAACAGGAACGCGTCGTTGTCTCCAGACTGGCAGCGGTCTTTCATAAGGAAGTGGTGTCACGGAACGTGCAGAAAGTTTCGGTCAAAAAACCACGGTTACTACTGACAAATGAGTGACCAGTGGTGGAGTGGTTCCTTTCCAGCTAAGATTATTTATTTCGATCTTTTTATTATGTTCTTATTCCCTCGTCATGCGTTTTTCTGAAGCTACTGAGTGTTCTACTTGAAGTAGCTGGTTAAAAAACGGTTGAACAATAGCAAAAGGCTCAGTAATATTGGCCAAACTTTGAACAGTTCCCTCTAAAGTTGCTCCATCTTTTCACCTTATGGGAATCTATTTAAACTTTTTTCTTACCCTTTTATAATATTACGGTGTCCTTGAACTCTTTCAAATGCATTTGACTTCATATTTATCCTGTTTTGAGTTTCTCGTTGATCAACTTGCTTTTAAACCGCAACTTTTCATGGCATGAAGCGAAGCTGCCATTACTTAAGTATCCATAGGGTCCACAGAGTATAGTTGTTATTTAAAATGCAACTTCTCCATCACTTCTGGGTGACCTCCGTTGTGCCTTGTACTGGCCTGCTTGCTATTCAGTGTTTGCTTCTTGGTTTTTCTCTTCGGTAAGACAAATTAGCTAAATCTTTCGTAACAGTAGTTCAGTACTACTAATACAAGTGGTGATATACATTCTTTCTTTGGTAAGCTTATACGAGGTTAATGCATAATCTTTTTCCTCGCTTACGTTTCGACGTTTTCGTCTTCCTTAGAGCCAATGGCTACGTGTCAGCCTTGTATAAGGTTATCTAAAAAGGAATACATATTGATTAGTCATACCGAAGTTAAAGAAAAATTGATTTTAAAATAAAAATAATGATCTTATATTCTTCTTCTTGATAGTCTTTCCACCACCCAATTCGAGGGCCCAAGACAAGTAGCGCTTGTCGTTTTGTACCATTTTCCTACATTTTTCCAAAAATATATCTGCCCAGCATAATTGCGATCCGAGTTTGTTCTTCAGCAAGTAACAAAAGCGAAGCATATCTCGTGCCATAAATCCCATTCCCATAAATACGACGGTGTCATTGTATCATTTCGAACTTGGTCTCACTCTTGCTGATTTGTAAAATCTCATGTATCGTGGTCGTGTTGCCCTTAAATGTTTCTATTGTAACAGCTGTACAGCCGAATAACATACTTGTTGCCAGAGAAGTTATTTTTCACTTAGCTGGAATGTTTGGGTTATTTGTGATACAAATCTTCTTCCATTCTTCTGATGTGCCTTTAATGTCATGAGATCATCTTGCTTAATAATGCATAATTACATTGTTTATTTTGGTGGAGGGTGTTTATCTGTACAAATTTGTCACCGGAATATAATTAAAGGTTTTGTTACCTCTTTACGTCCTCTATATTGCTGTCATTCAGCTACTGTAGTATTTTTCACGTAGTTTTGTTAATAACATCAGTACAAATAGCTCCAAAGGCCGGCTTTGTGTAAACCTAGAAAGAAATAATCAGTATATGTATACGTAGTCTTACGAACTGCCCTTGTTGAGCTAATGTGAGGTTGGCATAACATGTCGTCCTTATTGTTGCTGCTGTTTCTGTTGTTCAAAATACGTCTATGATTTGAAGAAGTCGAAGTCGCCAAGAGGGCAACCGTGGAACAGCAGCGACAACAACAATAACAACGACAACTTATGCCAACTTTGCGTCAGCTCAACAAGCACAGTTCATAAGAATTTGTTTCTAGACCGTAGAAATGTCAGCTTGGCATGCAGGGGTTATGATTGTTTCACAGGTACGCTTACGATTCTTATGAAGCGTTTCGTATGCCGATGCGATTGATTGCAGGTGCTATTCTTTGTTTGTGGGTGGCTATTTTTTATGAAGCAGCTATTCAGGAATTATGAGGTGCACAACAGGTAAGATATTTCCCTTCGTGTGGGAGATTACGATAGTTCTGTGCTTACGAGTGGTCCAGTTATGGAGAAAACTATTTTAAGTGCTACGAATTGATAACTTGATGAGGTAGGGACACATCGTTTACATATTCCGGGGTCTTATTTGGTCAATTATTCGTATTTTTGGTGTCGTTGGTGGTGTTTCGGCAAAAGGTTGCAGATGACTTTCAAGATTATTTCCTTCATCTATAGTCGTTTTTAGAATGGTCCAGTTGATATTTTCAATAACGTTCGCGTTGTCTTGCACCATGTTTGAGCTTATTATTTTTGAAATTATGGATGTGATGGATTTTAGGTAAGTCTGGGTGAACGGTTTTAAACTCACATGTTATTGCTATTTTGTTACATAAGTATGTAAAAAAGGGATGAAGCTCTCGACGTAGACTTATCCTAGAGGGAAGCGCCATGCATTCGACTTCATTAAGCATCATTGGCGATGACTAAATGCATATATGACCTTTACAATGGCAGCATGCCGATGTATCGAGACAGTGCTGCTATCCTCCCAAACAGGTGTTGTACCAAATGGCCGACCCTGGAAGGATTGAAGGCTTGGTGAACCTGGAGCTCGGGGTCTGATCCCATGTGTGTTGCAGGGCGCCTCCGAACAATGGGCCATGCGTCCGTATAAGTATTTGATCTTATGATTTACTCTTCTTCATCTGACATATTGTCAGCGCGGGAATTATGTCTCTCGGACACATTTTTTTCTACGTCAAGCCACCCAGTAGTTAAGTATGGAAATCTGTACTTGTCGTTCAAATGGCTCATCGAATTGATACTTGCAGGTCAAGGTTCGCTTCTTGGAGACTATGCCTAACTTCCATGTTAATCATTCTTATTGTAGCACTTCCGCTTTACGTTGCATACACTCTTTTGAAGAGTATATCGTTTAGTAAGTCCTCAATTATCATTTTTGATCCACATGTCATATTAGAAAACAAGAATTTTAGTACGACAACGATTTCTAAAGTCATTGACAACCTTGCTTTGGATTGTGTTCATCTACTTTTTCTGGAAGATTGGTGACCCATTCCCAATTCTTAGTGCAAAACACGGTGAGCTAACATTTTTTCAAATTTGTGACATAAAATAGAAGCTTTTGTATTTTTTTTTCCTTCTTTCTTTTTCATTTTGCAGTTCAGCAACTATTTTAGTTATTGTAGTTGGCATAATGTCAACAAAGTGATTTTCCAGGAATCTTCACAATTGAACAAGCTATTTCTCGCATAGGTGTTATTGGTGTGACAGTTATGGCAATCTTATCTGGTTTTGGAGCTGTGAACGCTCCTTATGTTTACATGACAGTGTTTATGCGAAAGGTAATTTCACTTCTTAGTCAAGTATATCTACAATGGACTCTGTCGTCACTAGTAGCCAGGGTAATTCCCAGAGTCGTTGGTCCATATGAACTAGGGTGCCTAACACGGCTATCCCAGGATCTATTTTCGAATAAGAAGAACCGAGTCTACCAATATTTTACCACGTTTTTAGAACAAAAAGAACAATTCACCAAAGTGTCTTCAAGGAATAGCCCAGCACATAGACTAATCCGAAGACCTTTGTGGATGTTAAATGAAAGGAAACGGATTGAGCACAAGAAGTGCGAGTATTCGCACTATATGTGTCAGGACGGCGCAAGCAAAAAAACTGACATATACTTAGGCGATTCGTCTTGGTGTCTCGTGAAACTCTCACTATCGCACATTTTCCATCATTTTATCCTTGCTGTTTCTTCAATACTACTACTATACTACCAATAAGATTGTGTTTCATCGGTTCTCTCCGCTTTACTTTACTTTTCTTTGCAACCTCAAACATGACTATTCATCTCATTCCCGTCGTAGTTCGCGAATTTCGAAAGATTTTGGTTGGCTGACTTTCTACATGCCGTTTCGAATAGATGACCTGGCTGCGCTAGCAGTTTTGATACACGACATTTTCACAATAGCTGACAATGGAATATAGACGAAAAGAAGTCTGATCCACGTTACTTGTATTTACTAGTTCGTGTATGCTAATATGCTTCTCTTCTTCTATCCTATTTCGTAGGACTTTCATTGTGATGTTTTGACGAAACTTGGGTGACTAAACCCCAGCGTAAGTAGTATCATCGCAACATCGACAGTTGAACCAGGTCAATGAACGTACTTGTAAATAATATAGGTAGTAAGTAGTCAATATGTACGACTACCATGAACAAGAAATAACACCAACAATTATACGAAAACTTCTGTATAAATACATGAACTATTAAAAGGTGAGAACGATATGTGTTACAAATGCAACAAGAGCCATGATCGAGTATCAGCAGGCAGTCTATTAGGGACGATAAGCTCGCTGATCAGTAGCAATCTTTATACAGTGGTCATGGAATGGATAGAAAAGCTAACAAGTTTGATATCTCATAGCATGCGGTGTGAACATGCATGAGAAGCTTGTGGTAATGTGAAAACAGTATTCTTTAAAGGGTTTCGGTTTTTGCTTCCTTCTTCAGTCTTACTATCTTTGCCGAAAGGCAAAGGCTATTGTCTAAACTCGTGATGTCTAAATTCATGGTAAAATTTGGATAGTACTTACTTATTTGATACTTGAGTGGCCCGTCCGCATTGGTTGTTCGGTCTCCAGCACAATCTCCAATTCTCGGACATTAGCTGGTTAAGCCATTATGATTCCCTGAGTTCCGAGGTCAGCCTGGTCAAAGTCTGTCCCAAATCTTCACCACCACAGGCACTCGCAATCCTTGTGGAGCAGAGAGAGATTTACCACCATACGACTTTGATACCGGAACGGTGGTGGATCCTGGTATTGGTTTACTCTTAGCTAGGCTTCCTGATGGAAACGCATGACTCCTCAGCTTTAGACACCCTGCGAGGAGATGAACCCCCCGCTGTACATCGCAGTCCGACACCTAGGAACACCTTCCAGCCACAATGAAGCGGTAAACCGTTAGGAGCAAATTGGGATAATAGTGATTCCAATTCAGTAACTTCGAGTTGAGATGATTTGACCGATTCAGATTTCGTGCTCTTGGAGGTTTTCAGTATTAAACATCGAAGATCTGATTCCTTTTTGTTCTAAGATAGTGTATTCGCCTCAAGAAATTCTCTCATTTTTCTTTCTACTCTATGACAGTTCCAAAGTCGTGATATGAAACTCTCCATTCGGCGCCGGTCTTGGCACAAATTATGACCTTCTCTCAGGGCGTTTCCAAATCCATTTAAAACGCTCCGATTTCATCTTCGTGTGGCTTGCGTTATAGAAACTTTTAAAACTGGTTAAATACCACATTTCATTCATTCACACTGGATCTTTAATGTTCCTATATGATGGGTGCACAATTCCTTATCGACGATAGTGTCAATAGTAATAGTTCTTTTCTGGCCTATTTAGCAATACAGCTTTCTCCATAAATTATAAGCGGCTTGTTGCGGACGGCCTGTTCTGGTTTCGAGTGTATAATATTATAGTTGATGTCACTAATGTAATAGTATCATGTGCGGTCTATACACTCTGGTCCTAATTATCAGCGTTTCAATTTTTGAATCGACGGGGCCTTTTCACTATGTTTACAGTATTTTCAAGAAGTTGGTTTCCCAATTTTACAAACTGAATTCTTATCGTACATATGGAACTCCACATTACAAAGCACTTCTGCGTTTAGGAACACTTTTCGCTGCTCGCTATATTGCAATGCGGTAGCTTTTTTCAAAAGTTGCTTTCAGCTGCTTTTTTATATTAACTATAAGAACTCTTCAATATATGCTCATACTTTTCAGGTAGATCAAGCAGCTATCTCTCAAATGGAAAGAAAATTAATGCAAACCATGGAAATGATTGCTATAAAGAAGCGTCGTGTAGCCCAATACGAGAGGGAGCTGGCATTAAGTGCTTTTTCAAGAGGTTCGTGTAATTTACTCTGTTCTCTAAACTTATATAAAAAAGCAAGTTTTCGAAGCAATTATGAGTATGTGGTGTTGAGTTCGCTGATATTGCACACTGTGTAACAATGAAAACTTGTGTTTGCTGGAGAGGAATTGATTTGTTTCCTACTTATAATTTCTAAAGTCGACAAAATTTGGAATATTCGGTTTTTGGCTATTATTAGAAATAATACTTAAACACGAAAATTTGTTGAATCAACTACATCTAGTACTACTAGTACATATTGAAACATAGAACGATATGATCTGTTGACAGTTAATCGTGAATCTTTTTTTTTCCGACGGAGTTTTTGTAGGACAGATCAGTTGAGGGTATATTTACTACAATGAATCCTGGTAGTAGGACATGTCTTTGTATGTGTACTCCTGGTTACTGAACAAGATTAATAACTCGGCTCCGTATTTACGCAGTGGTTTTGCAAATCTTGTTCTTGATACTTAGCATCCACTAGGACCGTGGCCTAACGGTTTTTGTTTGAAGCTAAAACTTCATGAATAGATTGGCTAGTTCTCACATTTGTTCATTCTCTTGTCCGTATCTTCTCCTTTTCAAAAGGATTTCCCGGATACCAGCCTTAAATACTTTATTGTGGTCACTATTTTCATCTACTCACTTTCTTGAGACTTTGGGACGATAAGAGATTTTCTGCGTTCGTCAACGTATTTACTTCTGTTTTCTTTCTCAATGAGAAATTAATCGAAAATGAGGTCAAATTCTTCCTCCACAGTGAAATAGACTCTTCAGTAGTTGTGAAACCAACCACCAATGGCTTACAGTACTGTAGCCAAATAGTGGTTGAGCTTTTTCATCGTGCGCATTAGTGCAAATGTTCCTAAAAAACGTTAAGCGAAACATAAAGGAACACACATTGCATGTAAAGGAGAAATATGAGGACGTGGGAATTGCTAACGAAATGCGTAGAACAGCCTGATTTTACACGCGGTTGCTTCCTGCAGATGTGGATTGCATTTTGAACCGCTTGGGTTGTTTTGCAAACCGACCGTCATTTAAGCCGGGTGGTAGTAATTGTTACCTTCTTGGATTGTCAAGCTAACCAAGGTTGATAAAGATGTTTATTCGGCTGTTTCGACGTTTTCATCCTCATCAGAGCCGGTATTCCCAGTCGATGGTCAAGAGCCTTTCGTGTTCTTGACGTAATGTCTTCGTCGTCGTACCGAGTCGTGTCGATTAAGTTCGTTCCGCACCGTACTTGACGAAAAACTGAAAGTCATGTCATATGCCCGCCAAAACTAGGTGTGATCACCATTATGGTGCTGGTGATTTCGTAATTTCACCTTCTTTGTCTCTGCTTCTTACTCTACCTTTTGTGAAAAAGAATAACTTGCTTGCTATGAAGTAAACGATCACTCGATCTTCCCTAGAACTTCTTGATTCCAATACACTATTCATAGAGAGGCTTCGGCATTTAATGTCTGAAAGTGAACTTCCGAAAGTTGTGAATTTCGCAGTTATTACGAACGCTTTTGGTTGTCGTAACGAACTCAAATGGCTTCTCACTCTTACATTCCACTTTATTAGTCTCGATGTGAAATTCTTCAGATGTGGTGCTAATTTTAGCATTGAAGTTTCTAATGACAATGGTTCGTCACTCCTTTGTAATGCCACGGACATTAATGCTTATCTTTCCAACTGTATGCGTTCCGTTTGGATCATTAATTGTTTGAAAGGGCTGGTATTCGTTTAAATGCTTCTGATGACAAGTTCTATTTCATACTCGTTTTTCCTGGAACAACTATGCTTGCTCATGCAGTATTAATTTTACAACTCTTATTCTAACATTTTGCTTTAAGTTTTTCTCCAATACCATAAGCAGTGAATAAAAGAATGTACCTTAGAGGTATGTGTCTTGTCGTCGAAATTCTCCACCTGCCATCAGATCAGCAGAAAGTTTGAATGTGAAGTGTGTACGTTGTATTTACAGATTTTAACTGTCCAAACTACAATGGTTATTTTTGAAGTAATTTTGAGGCATATCTCGACATATTTTAACGATTTTGAGGTGTTTCTTTTGTGGTAGATGACCCCTATCGGATTGTCATATTCTTCTTACGTAACGCCTTTAGGTAGTATAACATTTTAAATGCTTTAACTTTTTATCTGCTGGCTATTATTTTTCATGGTAGGGTGTGATATAAAGTATAACCAGAGCAATACTAAAATATGAACAAAACTCAGAATCTTAATTAGACTTCGAACCCGTGATCATCCCTACATGAGCTCATGTGCTATCCCCCACAAGCCAAGGACGCTTGCTTTGCCTTTCTCTTTGCCATTTTCGCTCTGCCGGTGCTGTAGAGTTTTTTACTGTCTATAAGCTCCGAATTTTGCTCATATTTTAACATCGTTGTTACTGCTTTAAAAATCTTTTCCATTTAGTTACGAGAGTTGTTGGTGTTTACCATTGGTAGCTATGGTTCACTAGATTTCATAGTGGCAAAAATTTACTAAATCAACATTGTTTTCGTATGTACCCTTCTTGAAGTATAACGAAAATGCTTTTTTTAAGGGAAAGATGAGCAGACGGGTTTACTCCATAGAATTTGGGGCACGATGTCTAGTGCCACATCTGGAGGTACTCTGTGTGAGCAAGTGCGGTTAGTGAAGTATCATTAATTGTTGTCACTATTGTGTAACATTTCTGCAATAGATTTTTTATCTATGGTTATCCTTCTCATTTCTATTTGTTGTGATTTTCGAAAGATTTCCGTGTCGTTGACTTACATATGAGGCACGAATAGCCTCTGGTGGGGGTGCGTTCAATGCGCGCTATACATTGGTTCGACTCCGCATTGAGTTAATCGTACTCGCCATCTCTTTGAATTTCGAGACTTCGTACTAAACTTGTTCGCTAAGGACTACGTTCTATCGAAGAGCTCCCTCCGTTTCACTGAAGCTCCTTACTTCTGCCGAAACCTTGGGAGCACCATAACGCAACAAATTCTGGGATTCCCGAGACAATCGAGTTGAACAGTGCACATTGACATTGGTAAAGAAAACCAGAAATTCTCAATCATCGGCCCAACACTTATAGCTGAAAACCGTCGTGGATGATGAGGGCATGAGAATGAATTGGATGCCATGGCATACTTGCAAAGTGTGATATCATGAAAAAATTCAAGCAAAGTTTCCGTTTACATCATTATCTTTTTATTTATAGGCAACTTAACGAGGAAATTGTTCCTTTAAATGAACTTGGCCGCTACCTTTTCCTGGAGATTGTGGAGTTGCGAAATATGAAGGTAACTATCTTACACAGTTTCAGGTCTTTCGTTTCTTGTTACTGTGTGTTTTGGAGAAGGTTTTTATTTTAGGAACGCATAGAGTATAGTAAAACTTTGATGGGCAAATACTTCAATGTGCTTGGGCATTTTTTCTCTGTGTACTGCATTTGGAGGATATTCATTTGTACAGTGAATATAGTATTTGATCGTGTTGGTAAGGTAGATCCCGTGACAAAAGCAATCGAGATTGGAGTAAACTGGATAGGAATCGATTTGGATGTAGGTATTTTTCTTCACAACTGTCCAGTTGAAATCTTCGATGATACGTCCACACGTTCGTGATCAGCACTGTTTCATCATCCCGAATTTATTTACTGGGATTTTTTTTCTTTAGGCAACCTACTGGGGTTTTAGTTATGGAAGGTTAGCTTCGTTGAAAAAAAATCCCATCCAACCCTTGCTGTTTCCTGGGATACGATTATTCCTTGTATTGTGTAACTTGACTAAATGAAGGGATCGAAGTAGTTCTTAAAATGCGTGGTGATTTCTTCTTTTTTGTGAAGGCGTAGGAGAGTGGTGGAGCCGGTGCTACGTATTTCATTCCAACATTCATAAACACTTCATCAGTACAGTTAAGTGGTAAACCATAAAGGGCGTTTATCTACTAGCTTGAAATGCACACTCATTATAAGCTACAGTTCTAACTCTTCAGGTGCGTTTTTGGTCACAACACATTTCATTTCTTCTCGTTGGAGTAATTGCTGTGACGTCAATCCGAGGATTACTTATAACATTGACAAAGTTTTTCCTAGCCATTTCAAGCTCTAAGTCGTCGAACATCATTGTTTTATTATTAGCTCAAATAATGGTGAGATTAATTGTGATGGATTCCGCTAAATTTTCTCCTTAATTCCTATCTAATATTTGTTCTCCTAGTCCTGTAAGTTCGTGAACCAATTATAGTGTTCGGTTTTAGGGCATGTACTTCGTCTCGAGTGTTTTGCTGATGAGAATGAATATGCCTCACCAATATAGGTAATATATTTTCTCCTTGTAAATAAGTCATTTCACTAAATTCTTAACATTTCCGCAATTCTTTTAAGGAAAATTATCACAGAAGTCCTAGGCGATCTCCAATTTAACTTCTACCATCGATGGTTTGACGTTATATTTCTGATCTCTGCTTTATCGAGTATAGTATTTTTGTATTTAGCCCATAAACAGGTGCCTGTTCATTAATGTGTTTGCGACATATCTGTTGATTCAAGTTGATGGTTGTGGTGTAAATAACTACGTAATAAATTAAATTACCATGCCACCATGAAAGTAGATCAGCAGGTCCTATTGGATGGCAGTAGATCAACAACGTCCAGGACCACTGACGAGTGAGGATACTTCGTTCCAGCGGTGCTCCACTCCAGAAGTTCGACTCGATGCAAATACGAAGACCCACACATCGGAAGCATGACCACGATCATGAGCATGGCAGACTATGAACAATCGACTGGAATCATCGCGACTCTGAAAAAGATGAGAGTACCGAAACATTCACCTGCAGTCCCATTGATCGACGAGTGACTCGAGCTGCTGCCAGTAAATCTTATACTTTTCCCTGTCGCTTGCACGGTTAGCCTAGTAGGTTCTGCCCACTCTAGGGACTCATTGACCGTTACACTTTTCTTCTAGGCTTTTCGTGAAGAACTCTAGTCATCGGGTAAGTAATCTTTCTGGAAGCGGTGGCCGAATAAAAGTTTCAGTAACAACCTCTTGTTAGCCTAATAATCTAAGAAAGTATTATAAATTACAGCATTTATTCTGCTTGTTCTTTTCTTTTAACAATAGATTACAACCAAAGAGATGGTGAATACGTTGCAATACATCCAATTCTACAATGTTTTCATCCACGTAGTACTCATTTATCATCAGCACCGTCACTTCCATACGCAAAAATTAGTAGTGTACTCTCGGAAACGCTTTCCTGGATCATGCATTATTGACAATTCGAGTTGCATTCATAGAATTATGTATAAATTTCAACTTGTTCAAAAGAAATACTTCTTCTTCTGCTAACAGTATCATTTCAACCACCCTAAATCTTAAGAATCGATTTCGTTTAACATCTTCATGAGTTCCCAGGATCGACTTTCTGTCAACCTCGACAGTGGATTATAAATTCGTCGTTTTGTTGTTCAGCAGTCGCGAGGTTGTTATACAGCATGCATCTACTTCCATACAAAAACACACAACACAACAGCAGCCAACGTTCCGGCAGTATCGCCTCAGGAGCTCCAAACTTGGGTAATTAAACCATGTTAACTTATTTAGTTGCTTAGTAGTAGCGCATAGTTAAATTTAATTATCCAAGTTTGAGTCTCTGAAGAAGACGATACTACCGAAACGTCAGCTACTTTTGTATTGTGCGTTTTTGTATGGAATTAAATGTATGCTGTGTAACAACCTCGCGATTGCTGGACAAGAAAACGACGCGTCTTCACGAGTGATCAATATGCTGTTGAATTGATAACCTACCATGATGTCGATATATGTGAATTCTCTTCATGGCCAGTGTTGTGGCGTTTTCGTCTTATGCAGAGCCGCAGTGATTTGAGTATAGTGTCCTCAGCCACTCATTTTTGCGATGTGGGTCATAGTGCTCACATAGAATGGAACCGAGTGAACTTGGAGCGCTGAACGAGCAATCGTGTTTGGCGTTCTATTCAAATGTGATCAAAATTCCACGTTTTGGGGATCTGCTGCCAATATTCATCAATATTGTCTCAGGTTATCAACCTTTGTTTAGGAATAAAGTTGCTCATATAATGGAAGATGAGCGCAACACCGCCGTTGTAAGAATGGGGAGACATAGACATTGGCAGCTCTCCCCTTATTTACATGCTGTGTGGTTTTTGTTCATCTCAAGGTTTTAGGGGTAGTTGGGTAGGAAGAGTCATGTTTATGAGATTATGCTAGATCGCGTTTTCACCGACTTAACAAAAAACCTCTAATTGAGTTCTATGAGGTTGTTGAAGCTTCATAAAACCAGTGATGTTGCTGAGCATACATCCTTCGTGGGATTTCACAACCAAAATCTAGTCGTTCTAGAACAACATTTCCATTAATGTAGGTGCTTTTTAATATCTGGCCTGAACCACTTTATGTAACTAAGGACGTTGTACGAGAGCAGAAATGTGAGAGCAGATAGATAGACAGCAAACACACATTTTTCCTTTCACACGGATGACGTCATTGTTGTACAAAGCATTGAAGAAAGATTTATCCAGCACGTGAGTGAAACATTTGCAGTTGCTAATATAACTGTTATAATTGAATTGAGGGGACGAATCGAATGTGGGAAGTGCTGGATTCTGCAAAGTAAACGTGAAAGATGGGTCGCATAAGAAATATATTTCATTAGAGCGGATAGTTCAGTGATATCGATCCCGTTCATCACACGTACGTCCCACGGGCTGGGACGATCTCGCTCGAAGCCGATTAAGCCTCTCATCCTCTTGAGGTAGCGAAATTGGTACCAGATGCGTTATGGACAACATCTTTTCCTCTAATCCGTCTGGGAACACTCTAGCACCGCTAACAAAGGAGTTCAGAGAGGACTCCACCAATTTTCGACGACATTCGTAATGAAGATGAAAAAGCCCTGAAGCAACAGGGCAACACAGACAAAAAGCAACAGTCACAGACAAAAAAGTTTAAAGATTTTCATGTACGATGGGAGCGACGGAACTAATCGAATGCAAGGAGTGCTAGGATCCGCACAGTGCTATAGATGTGATATCGGCTCTTGTAATCAAAGGATAAAAATGGAATAGAGGTATAAGGGCTCTCGACGTTGATCAATCCTTGAGCGATGCGCCATGCATTCGACCACATTAAGCATTGTTAGACGTGACTGAATGCATATCTGGCCTATACAATTGCTCGCGGTGGAATACCTATGTATCGAGTCTATGCTACTGTTCTCCCAAAGAAATCTGACACCAATTTGCCAACTTCTGTGTGATGAAAGGCTTGCTCAGCCTGGAGCACGGAGTGGAACCCGTTGTATTTCAGGACACCGCTAACCACTGCGCTAAATAAACTATACGCCTCCGAATGAGTTATGCTCTTGGGTAATTTTCATGTGCAAGCAAATTATTCTCAAAAGTGACATTTAATGGACAGGAATCCTGCGGGGAAGTCTCTATCCTGATTTTCGTATGCTATTCCAATTGCTTTGGCCTTGCATGTTCATTGCCGTTTCCTTATCCGACAATAAAATTTTAATTGCGCTTTTAGTTGTAAAAGCAAACTTCTTTTATAGAACGTAGATCGGAATTCTCTCTTATCACTTGCACAAGTCGGTGATTACCAGACGATGATACTGATTTCCTTATGACTTGTGATTTGAAGACAAAGGATGACGAAATGGGTGACGGTGTATCGCATGAACAACGGCTTGGGCAACGAAATGATTGACGACAACGCCTTCGTTATCCACATTACGGCATCTTTTTCATCAAATGACAAAGGTCCGGTCATTTAATAGGCATCTTTCGGTGACGGTTTTTGTCTTCTTTACTGCTCATCACATTGAATTTTACCATTGGTATTAACAGTGGAATTGCATATGCTAGCCACTTCACATTGTGTGATAAAAACTTCCCATCCCTTGAAGAACGTTTTACACCATTGGACCACAACTGACCACCACTAATATACCATCATTTCATTGATAAGCCAGCACGAGGTTGATAAATAACCTTATTTGGCAAACGTTTCGATATCTTCATCCTCCTCATAGCCAGTGATCCCAGCTGATGTTGACAGATCTTCGTACTCTCGATGTGGTTTCTTCGTTATCGTATCGAGTCTGATCTTTTTCGGTGAAGCATTGTTCAAATGAGGCAACATCACCCGGCAGAGCTTTTCTACACATAACGATCGATGTTCATATGATTGTCCCACGATCATGTTTTTCTGTACAATCCATCCTGCTGAAATCGTTGTCATTATCAGCTAGCACAGGGTATGACAATATTTAAAAAACCGATTTTCCCTTATTTTTTGTTCGGTCGAATGTTTCGCCAACCTCGTGTTAGTTTGTCGGTAAAAGAATACACGTTCGTTAGTCGTACCGGGGTTAAAGGAAAGCTGATTTTTGAAATATTGTTTTACATAATGGTTGCTGCAAGTTGGAATGACACTAAGACTCTCTTGATATTAAAAGGGATTAATGTGTCCACATTAAGATAGTGAATCCTACCTCTGCTGTGCATATTCAGCGTTCATGGTGCAGTTTTATCTGGAAACCTATGTGCGATCTCATCCTGAATTTTCGTAGCATATTTCAGTTCAGAATAAACTCTATAGATAGAAAAAAGATCATTAAGGTCTAGATATTTTTGCACAGTACATACAAGTTCTTTATATCAGTTGCTTAAACGTTTGGACTTCCGGAGTCCTTGAAGACACAACGTTGCTGAGATATTTACAAAACTCCGGACAGCTGGTGTCTACGGTGGGGACCGAACACGCTATTATACTTTCTGAGGGCTAACGCGTTCACCACCACACCATGCAGGTCTTTCCTTTCGCCTGTCTCTCAGCCGTCTTATTGACCTATTGGCGCTACCAGCAATCAGCGGAATTGATCTGGGAGCACAAATCGGCATGAACCCAGTTAAGTTGAAGCTATGGTATAAATCACAACATCGTCAATTTTTATTTAACTTAACAGGGTTCATGCCGACTTGTGCTCCCCAGATCAATCCCGTTGGCGGGTGATTGCTCATAGCGCCAATAGGTCAATAAGACGGCTGAGAGACAGCTGAAACGAAGGACTCTCATAGTATGGTGGTGAACGCGTTAGCGACCTGAAAGGGTTATAGCATTTTCGTTCCCTACCGTAAACATCATCGGTCCGGAGTTTTGCAAGTATCTCAGCAACATTGTGGTTATATTTCACATAACACGCTGCCATTAAAACAGTTTCGGCTTCGACTTTGTTTCTGAAAAACGTCTCGTACAGAAAGCTGTCGAGATGCTTCAAGAAGCCACAACCGGTGGACGAGAGGTCTGACGAGTATTATTGGACCTATTTCTTCTCCGTAATTGTTTCACCCGGACTCAGGGAGCTTTGATTGACTGGACCAGTGGACCACCAAATGGTTATTATGACCTTCTTTTGGTACAATGTTCGTCTTCGAAAAATGCTACGAACATTTCTGTCTCCCAACAACTTA